GCATTTGCTATGTGCCAAGGTCTGCGCAGGGTGGGGGTATAAAAGTATAAGACAGATGCATTTGTGCTCCAACAAGACCAGGCTGCACTGGAGCAGGTTAATCCTGTGATAAGGGTGGATGGATGGGTGGGGTGGGGTCCTTAGAGGGTTTCCAGAGGTATCTGGGGAATAAAACAAAGTAGAATTGGATGCCACCCAAGTAAGGAACAGTGGCCCCGTGGCTGGGCAGAGGAGGAGATGCTCAGCTGAGTGCAGAGCGTGGATTGAAGGAACAATGGCAGGAAATGACACTGTAAAAGGAGGCAAAGTTCAGCTCTTGAAGATTGTTGTAGTTACTTTTCTCTCCATTTTGAGACAAAATACGTGACCCCCAAAGTGAGGGAAGTGAAGGGTTATTTCTTTTTTGTTTTCTTTTTTTACCAGAGCATCACATAAGTTTATTTCAGATGTAACAGCAGTGTTAAAATTGCAAAGTTTAATTTTTAACTGCACCAAGTAAACTTAACCATTTAAACATTTTCAAAGTTATTCCCTCCCAGAACTGTGGGAGCTTTTCTTTTCCACCACCACAAACCATGGTTCCCCAGTGGTTTTCTTTCGGAACAACTTTTCAACTGATGAGAAAACTGCTTTGGAGATACTGTAAAACTCTTTCTCCCAAATGAAAATTGATTTGGACAATTATATATTGCATAAATTTATCTACAGATTCTCTTATACACCTAAATGCAATTTATCATATGGTGTAATTTTAATCTATTTGCCCCATAGGAAAGCAGTCTATCTTCAGAAGTATGATGGAAATATCCTGTGGTCTTCTAGTTAACAGAATTACTAATTTATCTCAAAGATTACTTTTACCATTTTTTAAAATGATAAAAGCAACTCAGCAATGGATATTAGTCTCTATTGACACAAAGACTTATGAAGTAGTGCCCAGTATCTACCTGGCTACATCTTCCCTTCTGTACGTAGATGGAACTGTTTAATACCAGCTTGGTGGAGGACAATTAACTCCTTATAAACACTAAGGCTTTACATTAAGTCATGGACTAGGGTAGAAAATGCAACTCTATAACAATAGGAAGCCTACACACACAATTCAAACTTGCAGATTGTTCTTCTATCTTTAAATAACATGTACTTAATTGTGAGGCAGCTATTTGGTTTTCAATAGCCACACTTAGGGATACATTCATAGGACTGTGTATATAGTGCAGGTGAAACAGTTACAGAATAGAGGCAGTGTAGTCTTAGGAAATTCATTTAGACATCAAAATCTATTTACAAAAAGACTGCATTCTTCATGCTTTAGCACTCTTCTGGCAGAGCAAGCCTAAACTTACCCATGACGGTAAGAAAAGGTGCTTCATGTTAAACATTTCTTCTAAACTCAGATTTAGATTAAAAAACTGGTACCAAAGACTAACCAGCATGGTCTTTCTACATTTTCACTAAGATTAGAACCCAATAGACTCATCCATCAACCATCTTCCTTTAAAATTTTTTTTCTTGGCACTCAAGACTGCTGAAGTCTGTTTTACTTTGTACTTTCCCATTTCCAAATGAAAACTTAAGGTTATAAAGTGTATACAAACATTCTGTAAAGTAATTATGCCATGCAACTGATTTGGAAATGACATTTTTACATATGAAGATAAATATTACAAATCAAACTTCCTTTTAAAGTCAAATGACAGAAAACTCCAGCATTGTGCATTGCTTTTAAGTCTATGAAGAACATTTCTTTAGTCACCACTGATAATCTAAAAAATTACAAATATCAAGATTGGACAACTGGAGGAAAACATGAGTATTTCAGATGTCTCATCTTACAAAAAGTTATCAACCTGTTAGAACCTCTCCCAATTTGCAAGATAACAATCCAGCATAAAACCATTTCTGTCATTGTCATTAGAGGAGGTCACAGTAATATTTATGCTATTAACACTTTACACATCTATCTTTCCAAGAACAGAAGCAATTAGTTCAATAATTCCTCTTATCCCACACCCTTAAACTCAATATTATAGGCACAGAATATAAGCAAATCTGGGATAGTCTCCAGCAGATAAGGGAGTTTCTTAACTATGTCATTCTCAAAAAATACTGTCTAGATATTCTTTCCTATATAATCAAACACTCAGTGACAACATTTTTAACAGTCCGTATTAGTTGACATTGCATGCATTTATTGTGCCACAAATCCATCTGAGCTTTCCTTTAGGCATTTTAAAATATGTTCAGGAAAAAAAACCACCTGCTTCAGGTTTGTTTAGGGGTTAACCTGTAAAAACATCAACTCCATTTTTAAAGTTAGACTAACTATGGTATTATTGGGTTTGCTGAAAAGGAAGGACAGGAGGAAAAAACTAAATTGCAATAAACTAATAAACTTCTTTAGGTCAGTTAAGAGCTATTCTCTAATACCTGTACCTCGGATATTAAAAAATTTAATCTCACCACCCTAAAAGTTAATGCCTCTATTAACAATAGCAGGAAAAACAAACCTGCTGACAACCAGTCCATTCATTAACAAAAAAGCAGTTCAACTCAAATACTTAGACCAACATATGATACCACCTATCCAAACTTCCCCACCCATCAGCAAGAACAGAAAAATCAACTGCTTTAATAATCTAAAGAAGTTTAGTATTTCTTACCAGGACAACAATGGTCCAACTTCTGAGAGTGCTCAGAAAGACTAAAGATGGGGTAACGGTAATGTCTAGAGGTAAGCATCCCACAAAGAGCCTTTAAAAACCCAAAGTACCACAAACCCACCAAACTTACCTATAAGTCAAAGAAAAAGATCCTGCTGCTGCGTCTTTTTGTCTTTTGAAATAAACAGTATTTGTAGGCTCTGCCCTTCGGTGTGAAAGTAGGACATTAAAAAAATGCTTAAAAATTTGAAATCTTTTTTTTTTTTTTTTTGTCTTTTTCCTGGTACGGGGGGGGGCGGGGGGATCAAACTCACGACTGCCTGCTTGCAAGGCAGGCACTTATGCCGCTGAGCTAAATCCCCAGCCTCAAAAATTTGAAATCATTTGACACCCCAACTTTTTGGATAATGCATCTTAACTGTGAAAGTAAACAGATATTCCTTCAATCCAACCACCTTAAAAAAATGAGAGAACTGAAACGATCCAAACATGATTATTTTAAAAGTCCTTGAAATTAAAACTTTTAAAGGAAAGGGGGGAAAAAAGAGAAAACCAAGAACAAGAGAACAAGGAAGGGAAGCTTAACAAAGAGGAGAGGGGATTAATGGGCTTTTCTTTTTTTTTGGCGACAAGCAAGTGTTAGAAAGTTCATTTGCAATTTGTTCAGTTGTCCATCTTTTGTGCATCTGCATTCTTACCAGAAGGGACTTTGAGGTTTTTCTGAAGCACGTGAACATCAGCAGGTTCTATCCTCTTAGTTCTTTGTCTCAATAATCTCAAAGCCAAACTTCCTGTAGAAGTCCATTGCTGACTCATTGCTGATCTGGACTTGGAGATAGATGTCAAAAGTGCCATCTTTGTCACAGATGTTTAAGATATGATTTAACATTTTAGTTTCTATTCCTAGCCTTCAGTAAGGTACAAAACATCCTAGGGCCGTGAAGTAAAGTCTCTTCTGATTCTGTGAATGACCCACCCTGCAGCATACTGCTAGCTCACCAACCTCCAGCACACCCTTGTAGAGCTTGTCATTATAGCGGATGGAAAGATGACCTGGTTTAACCTCTTCAACTGTTTGGTATTGTGGGTGTTACATCCCCGAGTTGGATGCAGCTGCCTTTCATCTTCCCCACCTGCTGAGTCCATCATTACCACCACTCTCATCAACACTGTTGTCCTCCCAGCTCTGAGCTCTCCATGCCCTTGGCTCTGGCCACTCAACCCAAGCTGACCTCGTCGCCTAGGACTGAGAGTTGAGAGGGTGATGGAGGCTGCAAAATTCGAGTATGGCCCTAATCTGCAGAAAGGGCAGGGATGTCTGGCAGATTTATTTCCTACAGGTTGGAGGTTTCAGTCCATTCTCAGTTGGCTCCAAGTGGCAGGGTGGCATGGCAGGGCCACCATTCATGGCCCCCTGCAGCAAAGTGCAAACCAGGCAAGGTAGAGACATGCCTTTTCCCTGCTGTTACACTCTATGCTGGCTCTACCCCTGGGTGGGTGTAGCATTAACACCACCAATCCAAGTGCTAGACAGCAAGCCAATCATAAACATTAGATTTGGCTGTGTCCATGGTTACAGTGAGGCTCAAGGGGGGCATCTGAACATAAACCATAACAGAGATGCTTTACCCCATGCTTAAAACGCTGGACCTCAACTTATTTTGATGGAAGCCACTTCACCATCTAATAATGGAAGACTTCTTGCAGGAAACTACAGCCACTCAAAGCAGCATTAAGGTGATGGAACAACATAGCTTTTAAGTCCCACAAGAAGCAGAACATAAACGTTTCATGCTGCCTAGGATTGTTATGTAAAATATAACTAGGACAGTGGTGGAGCTGGGGGGGATGTCTAAAAGTAGAATCCATTACTTCTCTGGTAAGAGTCTTCAAGAATTCTTTTACTCAGTAGTGAATCCCTGTTCTATGCCTGTAGCTAAGATACAGCCCCTTCCCTAGACCATCTATTATAGGAGACTTGATCATTTGGGGTTTTTTTGCACTATTAATAAGTGTGTGCTTATGAAGTATCCAGAATAGACAAATCCATGGAGACAGGAAGTAGATTGGTGTTTGCCAGGATCTGGAAAGAGTGAGTGAGAAAGTCAGTGGTGGCCAGCAGGCATGGATATCTTTTTAAGGTGATGGGAATGCTGTGAAATTAGGCAGTCGTGTTGGTTGTACAAACTTTGTGAATACTGTATCCTAAAACCCATTGTAGTATCTACTTTGGTTAAAATGATAAATTTTATGTTTATCACAATAAAAACTATAGGGGAAGTAAAGGTACTGATAGTCTGCAGCAGTGACATCTTTTCTCTTTCTTGTTTTTGGTAGTAAAGGGCAATCGCAAGTGTGAGCTGAACTGCCAGGCAATGGGCTATCGCTTCTATGTGCGGCAAGCTGAGAAGGTTATTGACGGCACCCCCTGTGACCAAAACGGCACAGCCATCTGTGTGTCAGGACAGTGCAAGGTAAGTGTCCATGGCGGGTGTCCTCAGTGAAGCCTTGGGGTGTTTGATTGCTGGTTGCCCATCTGTTGTTTTGTAGGGAGCAGGCTGCTCCTGACCCAAGCCCACAGGGCTCCCCAGAACCATAGAGCTCTGGGAGAGGTGGGTTGAGGCTAGATAGTTTGTTGGCTCTGCGCTTTTGACCCTTGGGAGTCGCTGCCTCTCTCTGGCGTTTCGGTCGTTAGATGATTTATGTTTACACCATGTGCTTCTTTCCCAGTGGAGTCAGCAGCTCCTTCCCTGCCTGCAAGGCAGCAGTTATGGCAAGGGCATTGCTGGTTCATTCTATCCAGAAGTGGGTAGCGTCCGTCATGAGGTGACATTTTAAAGGAATGGCATATTTTATTTTTCCTCCCCCCAGAGGAGGCAGGCTTCCAAAGAAAGTTGTTCAGTGCCTTTTATAGCAGAAATTGTATTTTAAACAGGAAGAGTTTTCCACCTCCTTGGCTCTGAAGTCTGTTCTAGGAACTCCCGCCCTGCATTCTGCAAACATTCTGGACTTGAGAAGTCTTTGTGGGATGCTAGTTAAAAATGGGCATCTCAGGTAGAATGGCACCAATTCCATAGCGACAGTCACTTGCGCCTGACTCTCTACCTTCCTTTCATTTAGAATTCATCTGTGGAGCTAGGAGCTAGCAAGTAAAGGGCTCTGGAGCCCAGATTAAGATTCTGTCTTAATTAATACTAAAAAGCTGGCAAGAACAACTCACATCAAAGGAAGAGTTTTGGCTGTAACATCTGAAAGTTCCTTTTGCACTTTGTAAATGCCATGCGTTTAATATTAGGGCTCTTGAAGTGTGATTTATAAGTACAACCTCTCCACCCTTCTCCCCCTTTTGAATGATGGCTTCAAATAGGAGACATAGTAAGGTAGAATTAATTTTTTCTAACTCAGAAGGACAGTCACGAAAGAGAGACGCTGTCAGTCACTTGATACCTGAGGTGTGTGAAATGCCCTTGAAGAGCCAAACCCAGACAGGGTTAGGATGTGACAGAGAAGGAAGGCAGCATGGTGAGATGTTCACTGGAGATGGAGGCATGTCTTGGCTTCCAATTTTTCATCCTTTAGAAAAACCTGGTCTTCAGAAATTCTTCTGGCCCCAGAGTCCTCAGATATGAACCAGAGTTCTGTCAGAGTTCTATCATCTCCACATCCAGTTGGTTCTGCTACTAAATGTCACTGAGTCTAAAATGATGGAACATACAGCAATCTGGTATTCTCTTTCAAGTCTCAGATCAACTGTGTTCATTTCCTGAATTACGTGGTCCAGGCGGAGGGGTAGTATAATGGTTAGAAACACACACTCTGGAATCCAACTGCTGGGCACCAGTTTTGTCTTCTACAGACTTGCTGTGTGACCTTGTCAGAGTTGGCTCACTCTGTGACTCTGCACTCGATTCTCTACTCCATGAGGAGGAGGAGAACAGTTACCTCTGTGTTGTGATGAAGAATCACAACTCTTCTACGGGATTGAGCATGCAGCCAGCATACTGGCACTCATTAATATCATCCCTGTCTGTGCCCACATATATCCCATGAGATTTGAGTTTTCCATGCAGAAATTTTGCCGTGTGTGTGTGTCTGTGTGTGTGTGTGTGTGTGTCTGTGTGTGGCAGATGATAGATTCACATAGTCTTTTGAGACAGCACACTTTCATGGTGCGATTTGAATCCTGGGGTACAAGAGGATATGGATTCTGACTTAGCTCCTTCTCTCACAAGCCCTACATGATGCTGATGCCGCTGGTCTGTGGACTTTGAGAAGCAAGGTTTCAAAGGAGGGATGCTTGGATTAAAGTACAGTTGACAAAGAGCCAGATATGTTAACTCAGGCTGGTGGGGTGATGAAATGTGATCTCTTTCCGAGGGAAATGCAGTGTGTGTTTTTAGTGGTGTAGTCAGGGTCTCTTGCGTGGATGATGGAAAAGAAAAACACTAATAAGGACACAAGTATGGATTCCTACCAATTGATGAGAACCATTCAAACTATAGGGCAGCACAGTTTACAGATAACAATTGGTAAAGGGCTGACATGAGCATTTTCTAGGACACAAGTATCTTAATAGGAATTTGATGTTACAAGGGTCTTTGTGAGACACTTCATATTTATTTGTTCTCTGTGCTTTTGCCTGGAATTCCCTCACTGAAGTCGCTGGAGCCACCGACTACCCTGTCCTCTCTATAACTGCTGTTTAAATAATCAGAAGTATTTTTGCCTCCTGGGCTGAAGTCCTGTTCTCATAGTGGTTTTCAAAGGGTAAAACATCCTTCTCTAAATGTTTGATCATGATCCCAGAACCAAACTGATGCCTCTGCCTCCCTGAGCTGTGGCCGAGAAAGCTGTCACTCCCAGACGGAGCACCCTAGGATACGCTTCAGCCTCTGCTCTGGCCCCCCAAGGCCTCCTAAGCCAGGTGCAGTGGAACAGTCAGTGAAGTGAACAGGAGGTGAGAGCGATAGTAAGACCATGAGCAGCTGGGAGAGTGGTGCACTGCCCGCACCGAGGCAAACGAAGGCCCCAGCACAGCTGGAGCCAACTTAGTGCACCGCTCTGTTTCTAGGTACAGCCTGGCTGTGGCTGGCGTTCCCCAAACTAGGAGTTGGAAGAGGGTGACCTCTGATCTCCAATCTCTCAGTGCTGGGTACAACAACTTACTTGACAAGGACTGAAGCCTCCCAACTGAGTATAGCCAGGCCTTGAAAATAAAGGACCACCAAACTCCCACCATACCTTTCCTGAGTGAGAGGATGTATGGGAGGACACAGAGGTTTATCTCACATCAGTGGGAACATCTGGCCCATCTTCAGAGAGGTCCAGGAGACAGTCCCAGTCTGATTGCCATTTATGGGAATGGAATAGCATTTAGGGTAATTAACAGCACAATCATAATTTCTATTCCCAAGCAGCGCATTAACTGTGCTGTGATTTATTTTTTTGCTTGATCTTAACTTTAAACTTCGCCTTTAAAAAAATACTGTATTTTTCATTTGATGTACATATTTAATTACTTTGGTGCACAGTTCAATAAAAATAGATGAAATGTTGATTTGAAGGTATAGTGGGCATTTGAAAGAACAAGGTCATATCAGGTAACGGAGTTAAGTTGGGGTGGGGGGGAGGGAACCTTAGCTTCCCGGACACCAAGATTTTAAAAACCTCAGGCTTCCAGACTTGAAGGACCTCAAAAGAGCCAGGATCACACCAAGCCCTTCCCCTTTCTCTACTGTGGGGAGGAAAGGCAGTCTTTGGTCTTGAAGGAATGGTCCTTCAGTAGATGCTTTGTGAAAAATAAGCTACTTCACATCAGAGAGGGGGAAAGTTGGAGCAGCTACAAGCAAGCTAGGAGGAGCCACTTCTGAGGCTTCATGGTGCGCCAAGCACTGTGCTATGGGCTTTCCGTGCAGAGGATTTCACTCACAAGTTTGTTTTCACAGTGGCCCCGCTAGATAGGAATTATTAGTCCCTGTTTCCAGGAAACTGTTGTGAAGATTAGTGAGACACCCAAACTGAGGACCACAGAGGCGCTCACTGTTACCACTGGCTTTTGAGGCTGAACTTAACCAGAACAGAAAAAGTAGTGTAGTTGCTCAACAGGAGAGCCCTTGCCTCGCAGGCATGAGTTCCTGGGTTCAATCCCAGTCCCATCAGTAAGAAAGTAGTGTATATGTAACAGGGGAAAAATGTGTTTCTCTCCTTTTCTGAGTTCACCTACCTTAGGTCGTCTTTCCAAAATGATTGTCTTTTCAAAGCACAAATCAGGATATGCCTGTCTTTCAGTTAAATTCCATCCACGGCTCGCCACCACGTGTAAAATAAAGTCCAGGCTTCCTGGCCCTGGTGCTGGCTGGACCAGGACCCAGCAGCCTCCATTCGGAGCCTTTTCTGAAACACACACGCTTGCCTATTGCCCTGCAGTACCATTTTCTGTCTGCTTTTTGCTTTAGCAAAAGGCCCGCCATTTGAATAGGTGCTTACGATTAATGTGGAAATGAAGTAAGGTACTTTGTGAATTAAAACGTTAGAGCTCAACAAGTGGAATTAATCTCAAATTCAATGTAGAGTTTTCTCATTTGGGGCTTGGTATGGGCAGTTGGGTGCAGGTAAAGCAAGGAGAGAAAACCCTAGGCCTTGGAAGACAACTCCAGACACCTCTCCACCTTCCGGTCTCCCTCATCTTTCCAGTGTTTCCTGTGGCTCACCATGAATGCCTTGCATTCCTTCAGTGTTAGTAGCAGAAGAATCTAGAAAAGTGTGAGCCTGAGTGCTGTCACTGTCCTCCCACCAGAGGGAAGGAAGCCCCTCTGCCCCTACCTGCCCTGGCCAGTTGTCACCTTGCACCATAGGCCAGGCACTTCCTGGGGCCTCGCCAGCCACCCACACTGAGTAGGGACTGGGACATCTCCTCCCTGAGCTGGGATACCATGTAGCTTCCTCTGGGATGCATCTCTAGTTTCATATTTCATATTTCAATAAATTAAAGCAAAGTAACTGCTTCCAAATGTTCAGAGATGACGTCTGGGCCACTGTGCTGCCCTCACTTGGGAAAGCTGACATCATAGATGTGTGAGTGTGTGCATGTGTGTGCACGTGTGCATGCGTGTTCGGATGCCAAATTTTCATCGTCCTTCTTTATAAACACTGGTGTGCTTTCCTGAACCAAACAAGTGGTCCTTGCTCATTTCTCTGCCTATTTCCTCTCAACTGCCTTTCACTTTTTTCTTTTTTGCTTACCAACTCTCTTTCCTTGACTTTGCTTAGAATTACTTTTACTCAGAGAACTGAGAGAATAATTGCATTGAGTAAATTGTTCTTTGCTCAGAGCTACATGGAGTCAGCCTTGAAGTAGGGTGAGAGCTTTAAATTCACACTTATGCACCCTCTTTGGATTCTCTCATTCCCGCCTGATGAAAACTACGCTCTCAAAGTACTTTCCACCATGACACTTAGAAATAATAGACATAAT